GATTGATTTTGGTAAGTATGTTGTCAAACCTTATTTGTGAGAATCCAACTTTTTGGTTAGCAGTCAACTGTGTTAACCCTTTGCATGACCCAGGAACTCCTCTAATCTATGTATTTTTTTTTTTTTAACTGTTTAAAATAAAAGAAAAAGTTGACATAGAAGTAGAGGGGAACACAACATTTTTGGAAGTCATTCATGAGGATATAAAGGACATGAATACTGTAGTATATATGGAGGTAGATGAATCTACAAGTTCAGGAGTGCCAAGAATTGCTACTGAAAGCTGAAAGAGACAAAGGACCTTCCCTTAGCATTGACACCCTGAATTCAGACTTCTAGCCTCTGGAACTCTCTTATGAAACACCTATAGGCAGAAGTCAGAAGCTACAGGGGAACACCGGGAAAGCAGGAATCCTATAAATTGCCACTTTTAGCGAATCTCACTTAACCAGTTTCCTCACTTAAAGAGTAGAACTTACTGACTGGAGACTGCAGGGACCAGATGCAGATGAATCCTAGAGGAAAAGTTAGACATGAACTCCAGGACTTTGAACACAACAGGACTTTGTCAGGGGCTGAGGCAACTGATGTTTTGCAGAACACATTCCAACTGTTATGTAAATGTTGTTGTTGTTGTTAAGTGCCATTAAGTGTTTCCAAGAAGTGGCTGGTGAGTTTGAACCACCGACCTTGCTGTTCAACTGACCTTTTGGTCGAGTGCTTATCCTACAGGGCCACACCAGGACTCGTTATATAGATTTTAATGTTGTTGTTAAGTGCCATCGATAATAGCTGTAAAAATAATGGGGTCCATAAGCTGGATATGGAGTTTACTGGTGACCTGGCAACCCATTAAATGTAAGTGAGAGGGTTTCTGGATGCCAGATAAACCAAACGGCAGAAATGATGACAGCTCACAAAGTAATTGAACAAGCAAAGAGTCAAAATACAGATAAACTGATGGCAAGTTTGCCATCAAAGGCATGATTGGAAACAAAATGGATGGAAAACAGCCTTTAGAAGAGATGTTGTCAACAGAAATGATTTTGAGAAGATTGACAAATCTTCCCAAGACATAGATATTCAGTGAAAGTATGTTCCTGGACATTGAGGCATCAAAGGCCATGAAGAAGCTGATAGATTGCTTGGCCACAGAAGGGTCTAGAAACTAAGGCTGCATTTTTATCGTAAGTATTACCTTCTTTCTTGGAGTTATACATGCTGATAACTACTTCCTGGTATGGTGCTTTAGGATCAGCACTGGACTACTAACCACAAGGCTGGTGGTTCAAACCCATCAGCCACTCTTTGGACATCCTATACAGGGTCATTATGAGTCAGAACTGATTCTACAGCATTTAACAACAACAATTTTCAAAAGTTTTCTTCCCTTTTTTTTTTTTTTAACCAGTGATATTAACAAGCTCTTTGTAGAATAATAAAATAAACTTTATGCCCTCTTGCTAGTTGCAGCCAATGGAGTCTGCTCGGATAGGTTAGTTCCTTTACTGTTGGTGGGTGTGGAATATTTCTAATCCCCACCCACTCTGGCCCCACACCTACTACCCTTGGTTGTGAGGTCAAATGAGACCCCAAGAGTATTCTACACCAAGGTTAAGGAAATGACTATTCTCAAGCAATCAGGGCTGGTTTCATGGATGTGGAACTTGGGCAGTTTAATGTCCTGCTGTCACCATCTTGAAATTCCAGGGTCTCCACATTTCCATTTTGCACTGGGCCCCACAAATTATGTAACTAGTCATGCAGATGATAAGGTAATGACAGACAAAATGCAGAAAAATGCTCTTAAAGTCTCCAGATAGATCCTTGGGAACTGAGAATATACCACGATCACTGTATTCTGGCTGAAGCCATTTGAGTGTTGGCTCATCTGTCTTCTGGTTGTTAACGAGAAGGAGCTGCTCTGTTCCAAGCAGCAGCCCTGTCCTGTATCTGGCCAGCACGGTAAATGAGAAATACCAAGACAGTAGGGTTGAAGATAGGTATTATCCTCACTCAGCAAGAACCTTTCCTAAGCATCTGCTCCGTGACTTTCCCTGTGCTGGTAGCAAACACACAGGGATCCTTACTACTGCTATCCTCAGGGAGTTTCCAGCTGAATGGGGAAGGCAGGACACAGATCTGTCTGAAACAACCTTGAGATTAGCTCCAAAAGAGGCAAAAACCTGCGTCACAGGAGTTCAGTGATAAAGAAGGGGTCACTGAGGGCTGGGCTTTTATGAAAACCTCCAGGTCAAGTTAGGACTCAGATAGGGTCTTAAGTGACACATACAACTTTGTAAGTGGAAGAGTGAAAGTATCCAAGCCTCAGCTCTAGATATGGACATAGAACATACTCCCTCATCTGTGTCCACCATGAAGAGTGAGTGGGAGATAGGGTCAGTAGATGGCCAGGGGTGAGGGGGAGAATGTCCCCTGCAGGCCTGTGTTGTAGAGGCATGGGCTCAAGGTCATCAGGTGTGTTGGCAAAAACAACAGTTATGCTCTGTAGTGAGGGTGTTTCAGAAGAAACCCGAACCTCTTGAACCTGGAAAAAATTCTAGTTGGCAAACAGTTTGTAAGTCATTCCTAAGTACATGTAAGACTTGCTCAACATTGGCCCTGTCTTACTTAGCATTCTGTCTGCACTGCAGGTATGAACACTGCAGGTATGAACCCATACATAGATGGTTTAGTTATTATTCATACTAAAGACTCATCTCCCAACCCTGATGTGTTTTCTTTTTCTGTTGTTCTCTCCTGGGATTGGCTTAAATGGGGCAGAAGAGCTCTTAATCCTGATTATGGAGGGACTTGGTGGGGATACATATCCTGATTGGACTCAGGAGTTGCAGAAGGGATTGGATGGTTTTGAAGGAACAGTCTTCAGTGTCAGGTGACTGGTCTGAAGGAGAGAAAGAAACAGTTGCTTTCCCCACACCTGTGCAGATTGGACACACATGTGGCTGAGGAGTTAGAGGAGGGTTATGTCCAGACCACAAGCCTGCACTAAGCAGGGGCCATTTCTGGAATTTACTGGGAACCTTACTTAAAGTTACTCATCAAGTAGAAGCACTTTGTGGTGGAAACACACACAGGCCTAGAGCACTTGGTTTGGGGCTGGCTGCTGGATCAGTATGGCTGCTCTTCTTCCTCTGTGGAACTCTGTTGGCAAAACTGCAGGGAGGTTTATGCACCAGGACTATGCACCCAACAGACAAAAAGTAAGAGGGGAGCATTGCAAAGACTTCAGGCAGCCCAAGCCAGCTCTTCCAGAAGCTTCATCTGCCATGATTACCCTAGCGACAGGGTCTGGAGTAGTGGAAGGCAACACAAAAGACACTGCGAAACAGGACATTTCTTTGTCTAACTTTCAGTGTGGTTGGTGAAGTGAAGGGACTAGAACTGGGAAGTGCAGCCTCTGCTGAAGGGGAAGTCAAGAGGGGCAGGGATTGGCAATAAGAGTTCTGGAAGTATCCTGGCAAATTACGCTTCCTCCCTGAGCTCCAATTTCTCCATCTGCAAAGAGAAGATGGCAATTCACTCCAAGGTGGCGATTCAGAGGTAGAAAAGAGGAGGTAGACTGTGAGGTCCCTGGTGGTAGACAGCTGGTAGGGGGGATGGGCACAGGCCCAGAAGAGCCTTCCACTAACGTTTGACAGGCCAGAGCAAGAGTATAAATGAAGGCCCACAAGTGTTTGAATAATTAAAAGGTATAAGCAAACTAACAAAGTGTTAAATAAAATATATTCTATTTGCTGACCTTGATAAATACTCTCATGATGAGCTAGAATGCCAGATTTCAATGAGAATTCTTGGACTCCTCAGAGAATTTTGAGCATGGAGCACAGTGTGGAAAGAGCTGCCTCCTGGGCCCTGGCTAAGGCTCTGGTAAGAAAGCTCTCCTACTCACAGGCCTCCCGCCCCAAGGAACAGCACTAAATGCCTCAGCCCCTATCCTTGGAAATCCACCTTTGGTGTGGGCTTGAGGCTCAACTTCTCAAGAGCTGTCTCCCATCAATGATACGTGTGGTAGGGATGCTAAGGTAGCCTGTTCCTGTTAGACACAGAACTCCCCGGATTCAACTTTGGCTCAATGAGTCCCGACAGCTTGTACAGCCAGAAGTCTGTGGTCCCTTCACCTGACCTTCTCTTTCTCTCTTTTTCACTCAAGTTCAGCATTACAACTTTGTCACCATCTGAAGACTCTTTCAGTTCTCTCCTTATTTCCTGTCACACAGCTATTTCTCCTGATAAAATTCTTGCATGGTTCATCCTACCTTGATCCCTGCTCTCAGAGGACCTGGACTGAAACATCGTCTCCCAGCCCACCCTTCCTCTTATCCCTGGCTCCTTCCCATATCATGAGGAGCTTTATGTAAGGTGTCCCAGGTACCCAGAGAATGGCCTAGAAGCAGGTTCTGGTGGGAAAGTCCCCTCTGCCCACAGTCTCCTTGCCCTGTGGTGGTACAGGGAGTGTGGTGGAGGGCTACAGTAGGGGGCTGTCTGATGTGTGGGGAACAGGCAAGTGTGTTACACTTGTTAGAGTGTAACACGATACTGGCCAGGAACCACTCCTCCACTCTGCCTTCCTGCCACACTGAAGTGGGAGCTATTTATAGGGTCATGCTCTTGACCTTCATGGTTCATTCTCATTTGCCCTGCCTGTGTGGCTCCGTTTTAACCACCTGGACTAGGATAGTGAGCATGTGAGCACATCGTATCATTCTTTCATTTTCATGAGAGTCTGGTGGAAAACGTAGGTTTGTATCTGTTACCAGGGAGGAAACTGAGGCTCTAAGGTCGAGTGAATGTCCATATCCAGGTCTTCTGATGCCCTCTGCCCTCTTCTGATCCACAGCCATGAAATGTCAGCCAGTGTGGATGTTCACGTGGTATCACAGAACTCCTCTATGGTAGAGGAAATGAACGTGCATCAATCTGACTGGGGGAATGGAGGGCCAAGACGGTTGCCCCCATAACCAGCTAGTTTCAGTCCCTCAGAACTTCTCATTATACTTGCAATCTGGGTATCGGTAAGCAAATCTAGGGTCACAGGTCCTCAGGGGTCTCAGGATGTCCTTCAGTCGGCTGGCAGCACCCAAGATTTCAGGGTCTGGGCGAGTGTCCTCCCCACACTGAGTGAGCATGGCATCGATCTCATCCTGCACCACTGAGGGGAACTTGCCCTGGAGAAGCCGGGGCAGCAACTGCTGACACACTAGCACAAGGTTCTGCTTCTCAGGAACAGAATCACAGGAGGGCAGCTGGGTCTGGCAGCCAGAAACCAGGCAACTAAAGATGTCTTTATTCTCTTCTGCCCTGATGAATGCTTGGCTGCCTGGAAGAGAAATGGAAAATATTACAAGCCCCACCACCTGTTTTCCTTCGGGGAGAGCATCACTAATCAGAATTGATGGGCAAAGTGGTTTTGTTTCCTAGCATTTTCCTGTCATCAGCGCATGTAGGGCGCAGAGACACAATGGCCCCTGATGAGATCAACATGAAATTCTCTCTGCTACAATAGACATGGGAACCACACTTCTCCATATCAGAAATTGGGCCTATAATTGTAGGAATTACATCCATATTGTTACTATCCCATAATTACTGAATTAGGGAACTCAGGAAAGTGTTAGGGCTGGTTTCCTTTGTCCCCTTTAAATACAAAGTCAAGAGAAAGTACAGGCCACCTAGAATATGTATCCAGTGATTGTATTGTACTGATGTTCAGGACAATGTACTGGACTGATGTTTAGTATTTATTAGTATAGAAATCAGCTTGATTTCTTCTACTTTTGTTACTTTTGCTAAAGGCAAACCCGGAAATGAATAAATATGGTTGAATATGTCGATCTTTTGAAGGCCTTCTTATATAAATACAGCCAGAAATCAGAAAAGAAAGTCCTTTGTCAAATTTTGGGCTCAGAAATTTGGTCACCATTAGAGATGGGATGTTCAAAGAGTTCTAGAACCTTGGATGAGCCCTTGCACATAATGAGAAATATATGATTCACTCACCACCTCCTTTGGTGCCATGCCTTTTAATTAGAAAACTTTATATAAAGCAAATGTGCCAAAATGGATTGTAAAATGTACCAGTGAATCAGCCAGATATTTAAATTTTAGATAAAGGCTAAAAATGTCTTATGAGCAAGGCTCCCAGGGAGAGATGGATCTGTGAGGTGTGTGTGTGTGTGTGTGCAGGGGGTGAGGCAGGGCAGAGGTGGGTTTCTGGGCCACCTCACAGACAATTGGACAACAGTGCTGCCCTTATTGGGCACTGTTGGGGCTATGCAGGATGTAAAATGTCTCCTATAGGTAGGGCCAAGTCCAGGTCCCCTTTGAAGTTAGAGTTGGAGCAGAGACTCAAATGGGGATAGGGACATTTTAATGGCAGCTAATATCACTGAACCTGGGACACTCTCTCTGCCACATAGGGATCAGAAAGGCCCCTGGCCACCCCTCCCTAACTTCTGTCACCCTGAATTCTCCCCTGACAGCCATTCATTCAGCCCATACTGGTTACCTTCCTGCTTGTCAATGACACCCAGTGTGCTAGCATTCCGGATGAAGAGATGCCCATTGCTGAAGATGCCAAACATGCCTGCATCAACATGGGTGAAGTAGAAGAAATAGTTCAAGTCATTGTTCCTCAGAGACTCCAAGACACCAAGGAGCTGGTAGGCGAGATCAGCTGTCTGGTCTGGGGGTGCACCATAGAATTCCTGCAGCGATCTGGTGCTGGTGTTGATGAAAAATCTGCCACAGGAGCCCAGGTATTTGGGTAGTGGCCATCCCTCGGCCCCAGGGAAGATCTGCCAAGCCAGAAGGAGGAGTCAGGAGAAGGTTAGGAAGAAGACACTCTGGTAGAAATCGTGGTCTCTGCCTCTCCCCAAGAGGACCCATGGGCAAAATGTTGCTCAAATCTTTCTATAGCTCTTGGAACCTGGCAGTGTGGATGTCCTGCTATGTACATTTTTTGTTCATTGATTGATCAAAAGATTTGAAAAAGGAGGTGCTTATTTCCATGATGTGACTTATATTTCAACAGAATTTCTCCAAGTGTGAGGTTTCTGGGTGGCACCCATGGTTAAACACTCAGTTGGTAGTCAAAAGGTTCAGCCCCTCCCCACCTTCCCAGAGGCACCTCAGAAGGAAGGCCTGGTAATCTGTTTCCAAAAGATCACAGCCATTGAAAAAAACCCTGTGGAAGAGTTCTGTTCTGACAAACATGGGGTGGCCATGAGTTGAGTTGAGTCAATGGCAACTGGTTTTGCTTTGGTCTCCAAGTGTGACATTAGACTCCTAATAGACTTGCCATGGCTTTATATGGTATACAGGGTTCAAAGGAATATGTCCTATTTTGAGTTGCATAGCTAATAAAATATGACTCATATCAGAGATTTCAATGATATCATTACTTAGGAAAAGACCATCGGAAAAGAGGGTCAATTTAGGCTTAAAGAAAAAGATTTTAAAATAACAGTATAGGTGGTTTGGGGATAGGACAAAAATCTTGACTAAACCACATTCAGGAAACCGCTGCACTGGCCTGAAATCTTTCCTCCTGGCCCTGGATGAATCTGCCTGAAAGGGGTAGCTAGATGCTCACAGATGTTCTCCCAGTGGTCAGACCTTTCCTGACAGCCTAGCACGAGTCTATGGAAGCACATAGCTCTGAGTCTGTCTCTTCTGTCTTCTTGTAAGCGCTCCAAGCATGTGGTTTTGTGAAGTTAAAAAAAAAAAAAAAGCAGAGAGGGAAGTCTGCCTGGTCTTTTCTTGACTATTGAAGCAGCTATATCTAGAATGACATTTCTTTAAACTATAAGGGAAATGAAGGAGCCCTGGTGGTATAGTGGTTAAGCACTTGGCTGCTAGCAGTTCGAACCTACCAGCTGCTCTGTGGGAGAAAGAAATGGCAATGAGGGAAATGACAGGAACTAAAAATACTTAGTATATTTTCTCTTGCTTTTCTTTCTTCAAAAAGCAAAGTCATCTTCTTCTCGGATGAGTTTTCGCTATCTTCTGCGCATGCTCATCTACCTGGCATGACTGTGAAGAACACAAACCGATATGCTCTTGGCATTTCTTATAAAGGGGGGTCCCCTGTGCCTACTGGTGATGCCCACATGTGTGTCCAGGTGGGTGGCAGGCCCACTCCAGACTGAGTGGGAGTTCCCAGACACATGGTCTCCAGCCTATTTCTCTTAGAAGCCAGGGCTGGGAGTAGCCACTGTCTGCCAAAGATAGCAAGGTTAGAAGGATGTGAGAAAAGTCTTATAGACAATCAGCAATTCCTTCTTTTCCTCTAGAGTTAAAAACTCATTATACTAGGAGTTTTTGTTTTTGTGATAAGAGTCAGACAGGTCTGGGCTTGTGTTTCATCTTTGACTTTGGCTAAGTCACCTAAAATCTCTGAGTTCCAGTTTCCTCATCTGGATACGAGTAGCGTGTTGGGCTATGCATTCAGCTGCTAGCCACAAGGTCAGCAGTTCTGCTCCCGTAAAAATTCATAGCCTCAGAAACCCAATACAGGGTCGCTATGAGTCAGAACTGACTTGATGGCACACAGCAGCAGCGGTGGCATGGGCTGTCATAAACATTAAATGAGATAGTGATGTAAAACATCCAACATGATGTGTGGCATATACTTGTAGCAGGTGTTCAATAAATGAGAACTGTTATTATTCTATATCCAGTTGTCATAATTTTGGCCCATATTTGATTAACTGTTTGAACTGTGGCTTCCTCTTTCTCCTCTCCTCCCTTCTCTTCATTCTCCTCCTCTTACTCCTTTCAGCTTTCTTCCTTCTGTCTCTAGCTCTCCTTCTCTTTCTGTTCCTCCCCGCCACTTCCTAGTTTCCTTTGTGTCCATTATGTGACCCCTGTGTCCTGACTCTTGGGGCTTGGGGGAAATTGGTGTGACTGGACTTCATATGGTCTAGAACGCCTGTTTATGACTTGTGGTCTCTCCCACTGGACTGGAAGCTGCATGAAGGCTGAGGCTTGTGCCTGTCTTATAGTCCCAGGTCCTAATGCATAGCGTAGTGGTTATGAATTGGGCTGCTAACCTCACAGTCAGCAGTTCGAAACTACCAGCTGTTCCGCGGGAGAAAGATGAGGCTTTCTGCTCCCTTAAAGGTTTACAGCCTCGGAAACCCTGTACAGGGTCACTATGAGTCGGAACCGACTCCCGGGCAGATAACAACAACAACAATGCATTTTCACGTATTTAACTATTCCCCTACTGGTAGACATTTGGGTTACTTCCATTTTTCCAAGAATAGCTACAGGGCACACCTCTGCAAGGGTTTCTTTCAGGCAGTGAAGGCGGCTACTGTCCCCCCTTGACCCCATCTCCCGTACCTTGAGCTTCCCTACTGTACTTCCACACCGGAGAAGCCAAGGGCTGCTGTTGTTGTTGTTAAGTGCCGTCAAGTCGATTCCGACCCATAGCCACCCTGTATAGGGTTTCCAAGGAGCAGCTGGTGAGCTTAAACCACCAACCTTGCAGTTCAAACGACTTCCGGTTTGACGCATTAGCCCACAGCGCCACACAAGGATGCTACAAAGGTCTTAAAATGGGTTGGTGACTCCAAGGGCTGAAGTAGAGGGGAGAAAACTCAGCCCTGGGCCAGCCTGACAATCTGAGGAGGAGCTCCCAGAATTTTTTGTTCTTGCTCTCTCAAGCCCACAGCAGAGTTCACACCCTCTCTTGAGGGGCTTTCCAAGGTCTGGAGCAGAGGGGGATCTCTGTGTACCTGTAGAAGGATAGGGTGCGTGTTGACAGCCAGTGTGTAGAGCAGCCGCAGCTTGTCTCGGTCAGTGAAGTGGTCCATGAAGATGCTACCGGCGTCGGCCACCTCAGCATAGCGCCTGACCACTCGATCCAGGAGTCTCTGCGATGGGCAGCGCAGAAGGGGACTGGGCAGGCCCTGCGGGTTTGTGGGAGAGACACCCGGGACCGGGGACAGAGTGCTTAGTGCTGGTGGAGCCAGGCAGGAGGGGAAATGGGCAGGCACAGAAGATGGGGGAGATTGTTGTTAGAGGACAGGGCAGGAGGGGGAAAAGACCCACGGGAAAGAAAGGAGGCAGAACCCTCCTGGGGGAGGGGGAGATATAGAGGGTGAGGGTATCAGTCGGGGCTGGAAGAGTGCAACAAAGGGCAAGAGAGAGAGCGAGCAAGCGCTAGAAACCACAGCTGGGCAGGGGAGTGGCCTCCTATCCTCTCAGTGGGCCCTCCTCACCCCACCGCCCTTCTTATACGGCCTTTGCGGCAGCCAGCATCTTCTTACATAATCGCACTCCCACTCTGTCTTTAATATTGGGCTGAATTAATCAGAGCATCCCCTTGTGATCAGCTCTTTGATTCCTTCCACCATTTCACTGCCAAATTTTTAGGTGCTCGGATTTTTATTCATACAGACCCCATAAGACAGATTAGAACTGGTGGGTCTGTATTTTCTAAGCTGTAATCGGCTTTCTGCTCCCATAAAGGTTTACAGCCTCGATAACCTTGTACAGGGTCGCTATGAGTCGGAACCCACTCTGTGGCAAATAACAACAACAACACCAATCTCTAGCAGATGGACAGCTTTTCTCCCTTAAAGCCACCATGGGTCCAATGGCCAACCTATTGGTTAGTAGCTAAACATTTAACTGTTGCTCCTTTTTCACTACCAGAGTACCACCATTACGATGCTACACACGAGTATCTATGTGCCACTCTGCTCTTTTTGTGGGCAATACAACTTAGAGATATGAACCTAGACTTGCTTAGCTAAGAATAGAATGTGTAACAATTGGGTAGGCAAATAGTTAAGTGATTAACTATTCACCAACAGGTTGATGGTTCAAACCCACCCAGAAGCACCTCAGAAGTAAGACCTGGCCATCTGCTTCTGAAAGGTCACAGCTGTGAAAACCATTTTGGAATCCTGGTGTGGTGCTGTGGGTTAAGGTGCTGGACTTTAAGGTCGATTTGAACTTCAAGGTCTGCGGTTCAAGCTCACCAACCACTCCTTGGAAACCCTATGCATGGTTGCTATGAGTTGGAACTGACTTGACTGTTCTTAACAACACAACAACAAGAAGAATAAAATACAACTAAGCATTGCATGAGAGCACCTTATACACCCCTCCCCTCTGCCCTTGCTTCTTAGATATGCGTTGTAACTGTTTTAAGATGTCTAGTTCTGCTTGGAGACAGGTCCCTTTGTTTGATCAACTTCTTTTTTAAAAAAAAGATATAAAACTTTCTTTAGTTTTATGATTTGAATGAGGATAATGACACTAATCTTAAACTAATTTAAGAGTGAATGGTTAAGAACTTCAGTAAAACAAATGTACACAGATGACATTCATTTGTTAAAGTACATATCTCTGGGAGTTCCATTTTGACCTTTTATTTATAGATCAGAAAAATCAGAGGAAAATAAAGCACACACAGAAGATACAACTCTAAGTTGCATACAATTATGGTGATTGGTATCAAGTGAGTCCATATAATTAAAACTGAGTGTTTTGTTCATAGATATTGTTGTTAAGCGCCATGGAGTCAGTTCCAACTCATAGAGACCCTGTATAGAATTTCCAAGGAGCGGCTGGTGAGTTTGAACTGCTGACCTTGTAGTTCAAACCCACCCTATAGTCTAGTGCTTATCCTACAGCACCACACCAGGACTTCTCATAGATATCAGGACCTTAGATTTTTAATTACCAAAAAACCCCACTTGTTTCCGATTAGAGAATACTTTATGCCTTTTATCTTTTGTTCCATCTTTAACATTTCAGCAGCGAACACATACCTGCCTTAATAACACTGCACGTTAATGCACTGGACTGCAAGGTCAGTTTGAACTGCAAGGTCCACAGTTCAAACTCACCAGCCACTCCTAGGAACCCCTAGGTCACTATGCCCTGTGGTTGCTACGAGTCAGAACCGACTCGATGATACTTAGAAACAACAAAACCAATAGCATATGAAACTCAACTATAGTTCTAATATGCTAACATACTTTTTCCTTTCTGTACAATTATCAGAATCCTTGGAATTATGGACAGTATTATCCTCTTCCTCCAATCTGATGGGAAGATGTAAATTTCAGATGGGTTGTGTAAAAGTATGAAATTCAATTTTTATTTTTTAAGCGAGGCATGTAAACATAGTGTACGCTTACCATAGTTGATAACTTGTATTCCCTGTTGCTTTGTAACATGATTTGTTTAGTAAAAGGAAAACTGGCATTGGTGCTGTGGGCTAATGTGTCAGACTGCAAAGTTGTTTGAACTGCAAGGTCGGTGGTTCAGGTTCACCAGTTGCTCCTTGGAAATCCTATAAAGGGTCACTATGGGTAGAATCGACTCGACGGCACTTAACAACAACAACAGATAATATTTCTTATCATTTATAAAATGTACTTTTTACTGGAGAATTCTTTTTTAAGCTTTTGCATTAAGTGATCTAAAATAATTTTGAATGCATTTGCAACAGCATTTTGTAGCCTTAAGGATAGGGGACAAAATGACTGAAAATCAAGTCCATGTAGTACAAGATGTTTGAATAACTTTTTATAAGAAGTTTTGATCTAGACATATAGGCACCAGGATAATTAATCATAGAGTTCTTTTTGTGCACTTGTAACTTTCCTTGTGAATCTTGTACTTTACAGAATGTAAAATCACCAAGTTGGATATGTGCCTAGCATTGCTAAAAGGAGAGTATAAAATTACCTTTCTAACCGAAACAATCTGAACACCAATTAAATGAGCCTACTGCTGTGGGTGTTTTGCTAGTCAACTTTCTAATAAAGGTTTTCTCTTTCTCTGCTTCATCTGAAATTGGTTATTGACTGGGCTTAATCACTTCTAGGCATAGGACCCAAGAATTTGGGGTAACGTTACCAGCTGTGTGATCTTTGACAAGCCACTTAATCTCTCTGTACCTTTGGTTCCAGTCTAAAGTGAGGATGACAGTCATCACACCTTAAGGAGTCACGAGGATCAAACAAGTTAAGGGATGTAAAATACCTAGAATAGTGTCTGACAAGTAGTGAGCACTCAGTAAATGCTGTTGTTATTAATTAATCAAAACAACAACAACAAACAAACAAATACCTAGCAGAAAGAATAATTGGCTTTGTGTGTGAGTTAGAATTTTCAAGTTCTGAGAGGCTGGTTTTGAAGAGTACAAACTAAGCCTGAAAGATTCATGACATAAAGTGTGTCCACAGATTGGGTTTGTAGGACACTGACACAGGGAGAGGACAGCATCTAGGAGCCCTGGGTTCCCCCAGCAGAGGACCAGAAGGGTGGGAGGACTTCTGGGACATTGGAGCTTGGAGGTTGATGAGGGCAAGAACAGGGCAACAGGATAGGATGATCAGCCATCCCACTGCCTGGGACTGAGGATTTTCCTGGGACAGAGAGCTTTTATTGCTAACCCAGGTAAACCTAAATGACTGGTCACGCTACAACAGGGTTGCAGTTGGACCATGACTGTAAGTAGACTATGCTCCTGCCCTCAGGTGAGGATCAGAACAGATTGACAGAGGCTGCGCCAGACTGCAAAGCCGTTTGAACTGCAAGGTCAGCCGTTCAAGCTTACCAGCTACTCCTCAGAAACCCTATACAGGGTCGCTATGGGTCAGAGTCAACTCGACAGCACTTAACAACAACAACAACAATGAGCATGCTTGTCAAAGTACCACGGTGTGGGCAATCAATGAGCCCCTGGACTCTGCAGGCAGGTGTAAGGGGGTTGGTCTGAATCCTGAAGTGACTGGGCAAGATGAGATGTCACTGGGATTATCTGACAGTGTTTAGATGACACTTTCCACCCCTGTGAGAAGTTGGTGCACTACAACAGAGAACAGAGAAAAATTAAAGGACATTGCATTTTTGCAGCTGTAAGCCTTTCAGCTTCCAATTCATGTGTGTGCCATTCTGACAGAGTTTACAGATGGGTGGAGAGGGGACTAAGTCATTACATGCTAGGTACAGTTCCCTGTTTAATCTTCCCTGGCACTCCACAGGATAGGGACTATTATGAGCCTCATTTTGCAAATGAGGAATTGAAAGTTTGTAAAGGTAAGGAAGGGCTGGAGGGGTTGGATCCAGGATTTGAACCCAATGGGTTAGATTCTAGTATTCACAGCTTTCCCACTGCAATAAGTCCGGTCCCACCCCAGTTTCCACAAGCTACCCAGGTGTTGTTGTTGTTATGTGCCGTGGAGTCAGTTCCGACTCATAGTGACCCTGTACAGGGTTTCCGAGGCTGTAAATCTTTACGGGAGCAGAACGCCTCTTTCTTTCGCTGAACAGCTGGTAGTTTCGAACTGCTGACCTTGCGGCTCGCAGCCCAATTCGTAACCACTACATTACATGGGAAAATCTCTTCCTGCACAGCCGGAAATGCTACCATTGCAGACATTGAGGAGGAGGAAGAGGAGGTAGTGGCATACCTAAATTTACTGCAATTTTCTTTATTGTGCTTCCTAGATACTGTGCTTTTTTAAAATGGAAGGTTTGTGGAAACCCTGTGTTGAGTAAGTCTACTGGTGTCATTTTGCCAACAGCAAGTGCTCGTTTCGTGTCTCTGTGTCCCATTTTGGTAAATTTCACAATATTTTAAACGTCTTCACAATGCAGTCACACTCTTAATAGACTGTAGTGTGCTTGCTAAGTCCCTCACAGGTACCGTATCTTCTTTCATTTTCTTCTCACAGGTACCTAATGGGGTATTACTCTTCCCATTTTACAGATTTCTGTACCAAGATTTATAGAGATTAAATGAGTTACCTAGGGTCATAAATTGTTTTTAGGTACCATCGAGTCGGTACCGACTCATAGTGACTCTATGCACAGCAGAATGAAACTCTGCCCTATCCTGGGCCAACCTCACAATTGTTGCCATACTTGAGCCCATTGATGCTGC